TTATCCCCTCGCCAAGGCCCGGGAATAAAAAAAAACACACAACTTGTTAGATAAAAATCATATCTATCACAAATCATGGGAGATCCTATATATATATATACATAAATATATATATATATATATATATATATATATATATATATATATATATATATATATATATATATATATATATATATATATATATATATATTAATCACATTTAGTCACTGAATAATTTTCTTCAAAATTAGAGTTACATAGTAGTCTTTTCAGGTTCTTTGGTTGACGTCTACTTGAGATAAATTGTACGTTTTCATAAATTGGCTTTGTTGTTTGGTCCTCTTTGAGAATGGTGTTCAGTTGGTTAACAATGGAGTTGATGTTCTGATTCTGAGGATTATGAGTATGTACAAAGGGAATAATATTCTCGTTATCCTCATCCTTTGGTTAAAAGTAATTCTGATCTTTCATGTTCCTTGGCTTTATGTATTCCATTGTCTGTAAGTTGGACTGGGTATTTCTGTTTTAAAAGATAGGTTTTAAGTTCACATAAACGAATGTCCCTTGTATCTTTTTCACTGACAATGGCGCATATACGTCTGGCGAGGTTATAAGGAATGGATGTTTTGGTATGATGTGGATGACAAGAACCAAAATGTAAGTATTGGTGTGTATCCGTCACTTTGTAATATATATCAGTAATGATCCTTTTGTCCTTTTTAATAACGAGAACATCTAGGAATGGTAATTGATTTTCACTGGTATCTATAGTAAATTTGATGTTGGCATTCAATTCATTTAATATTTCATCCCATAAAATAAAGCAGTCATCTAGGAATCTTTTCCATTTAGATTTAAGGCTGTTGGCTATATCTTCTCCCCATAAGGTTATGAGTTGTTGGTGTAGTTTGTATTCTAGGTAACCTAAGGTAAGTGTTGCGTATGTTGGTGCAACTTTTATTCCCATGGCAGTTGCTTTAGTTTGTAAAAAATGACTATTACCAAAGGCAAACGTATTACCGGTATTTTGAAGTACTAATTTCAATCCTTGAAGGACAAATTCCTGTGGGAAGCGATCATGAAGAAGGTAAGGGTATTTTTCTGTCCAGAATTCTTTCGCTTCTATTCCAAGTTCCGTTTGAATGTTAGTATACAAACTAACAACATCAAACGTAACTAATTTAGTATTATCCTTTACGATGTCTGGTAAATGATTCAGGAAGTCAAGATCATCTCTAATGAAACTTGGTACTTTTTCACAAAATGGCTTCAGCAATATATCTAATAAATGGCTCAGTCTTTGGGACCTCCAACAATAGGTCGAAAAGATAAATCCTGTGGATTAAGGCAGGTAATACATTCAGAATTCAGAGATTGTATTGCGTTCTTAATTTCCTTCGATTTATGAACTTTAGGTAAGCCATAAAATTGACTTTCTCGGGCTTCAAAATTTATAAGATAGTCTCTTTCCTTGGCTGTTAAGGCTTCAGAAAAAGGTCCATTGACGAGACTTTTTATCTTTGACATAGATTTCTTCTCGTGTGTTTTGTCAACCCTTTGGTAAAATTCGGTGTCTTGTAACATGGTTAGAATCTTATGTTCGTAAAAGTTTTTGTCCATGATGACAACTACCCCCCCCCCCCTTTGTCTGCCTCTTTAATCACAATACTTTTGTCATTGCATAAGTCTTTGAGGGCAATTTGTTCATTATTAGACAGATTTGATTTATTATTACGTATACAAGTATCTGGTAGATTAATGTTCTCTAGCGTATCACAGACTGCATCTAAAGTGCGATTTCTTCCTCGTTTTGGAATAAAACTTGAATTATTTCTCACGAGATCCTCTGGCTTTGTATGTTCACTTTGTTGATTAGATTCATCCTCGTCCTCATCCTCGTGGAAAAACTCCCTTAATCTGAGTCGTCTTGTATACGATTTAATATCTGTTTTTAGTTCCTGGTGGTTCCTTAGGTGTAGGTGTATACTTTAAACCTTTTAGAAAGTAATTTGATTTCAGAATCTGTAAGAGTCCTGGATGAAAGATTAAATACTTTAGGATCCGTTGATGTATTTGAGGAAGATGTATCCGTAACTAAATTATAGGAGTTGGTTTTTCCCATTGAACACGGGGTTTGTATCTTTCGCCTTGACTGGGTTTGCCTCCTCCTAAAAAATAGTTTCTTGCCCCCTTTCCAATATAAGTAGTGTGCTCATCCCTGTAGATATTTTGTTGTCTAAATCTCATATTGGGCTTTGTGCTGTTATCAACTGGTGGATTTTTTCGGCGAGTAGTATTGCGGGGATGGTTTGTTCGGTTACTTTGAGTCCTGTAACCGGCATTGAAGTTTGGAGTTTTCCGGTTGTTTCTCTCTTCGGTCCAGTTATTCCAGTTATTTGTTCGCGGATTCCCCCGTGTATTAGACACATTAGCTGCATGTGATGTTTTACGATAATGACTCCTACTTGGTCTGTATCCTTCTTCTTCATTCGATTGTGTATTATTTCTCACAGCAGATGCATAACTTAAATGGGAAGGTTGGATTTTCTTAGACTGAGTTTTTGGTGCTGGTTTTCTGCTAGGCTTCTTGGTTTTAACTACTTCTTTACCATATGTTCGTTCGTAATCTAGTAGCCAAGTCTCTGAATATCTCCATCTTTTGTACGATTTACCTTCCTCCTTTCGGCATTCTGACTTCCACATTTCTCGAAGTAAATCTAAAATAATCCCATTGGCATTGTTCTTAAGCGTTTGTTCCATTTCTAGATCTAATTCTATTACCTTCTTTTGATTGTTTTCCGCTCTCATACGAAGTAATGTTATTTCACCTGTTACCCGATTTTTAGCTACTTCAACTCGTACAGTACATTTGACTTCACAATTACGACGTCATATACTCCGCGTATCATTGTGTAATGTTACTCTGTAACTACTGTTATTTATTTTGTAAAGCTTCTGAAGATAGAATGAAAGGCCTAAAGCTTTACTGAGGTTTTTCGTGTTTTTCTTCTTTATGTTAAGTATATATATATATATATATATATATATATATATATATATATATATATATATATATATATATATATATATATATATATATATATATATATATGCACCGAAACCATTAAACCCAAAAATGGGGACCATGATTCTCTGAATTCGCTCACAAGTATAATTTGATATCATAGTTAATAAAAGTATAGTTTAGAAAAAGAGATTCGGAGATATTTATGGAGCCAATACTGACAATTGAATCGTGAAATTATCATACGTGAGGGACAGTAAATAGAACATAACAGGAAGGATGTCTATATATATATATAGCTGTTCACATTCAACATGGCGCTGATAAACTGAGCACTATGGTACTACAGTTCAGGTAGTAACCATATAGGTGCAACGTAAGAGGCTAAATGTAAGAAGTTAACTCAAAAATACTTAAATGAATTATGTGCCTAGCAATGTTTACATTTCTATCTGATACATCAATGTAATGTAAATAGTGTTACTAAATTTGAATATGGCGCCATTATTAGCAAATTACGTTGACTGCTCTGAGGGTATATGAACGTCATACCGCTAGCGTCATCACATTCAGTGTTAGTATGGCACCAGAAGAGGAAGGCTGAGCTTCAGAGAAGTTTGTATGTAAGTCGACACTCTCGCATATTAAGAGAACGTTGATCAAATATCCTTACTTTTGCGGGAAGAGTTCGACTTGTGTGTCTTTTAGTGTTTATAAATAAAAGAGCTGAGTAGCTGAGCATTCATTTATTGTGCTCTCATTTCATTACGCCTTGGAAGGTTTTACTCATCTGTTGCGTAACATTTTAATCAATAAAATTTTGTATATAGGTTTGTAGATCTTAATTCATATTTTTGATAGTGGTTTTATTAGTGATTTGTTAGTTAAGTAATTAAGGGTAATCATTTTTATTTCACACGAGAGGAAATCGTTTCGCCTTATTTGTATATTTTGCAGGCGATTATTTTAGTATATACGTTCGCCGTACTTGTATATTTTGGTGGGCGATACATTTTTTTTTAAGTATTATTTTGAGTCTAGATCTCAGTTTAGTAATTGAGGGATCCAGCATCAGAAGAGAACACTTTACATCAATAAGATCGAGTCTTTCTTGTCACATCTGTTGATCCATGTGCCGTGTGTTATAAACATGCCTACAGTACATTGAACTTCCGTTGCTCCTGAGCCGTCACGATAGCTCGGTCGGTAGAGCGCTCGCTCCGTGATCGGAAGGTCGTGGGTTCGAATCACGGCTGCAACTGACCTAAGTCGATAAAAATAAGTAGCAACTGTTCCTTCGCCAAGCGCTCGGCACTTTTAAGGAAAGTTGCGGGTCCTTCAGGTGAGACCTTAAAAACCCGTATCACGGCAGTTGTTGGCACGATAAAGAATGGCCCTGAGTGTCGAGTAAAGCCTTTCACAGGTATATGGTGACGTCTCTATGTGGGTGAAAAATTCTCGAACGGAACGGGATGTAAAACATAAAAACAATCAATCAATCTATTGCTCCTGAGTAATGATGTATTAGATAGTATGTAAATAACCATGTTAACATTTCCATGGTATCAACGTACTCTTTATATTAAGCATTGTCTATTCACGCATGAGTTCAGTCGTAATGCGTAAGCTATTAGTATTGTACGGTTACATAATTTAAAAACTATTTAAAATTTCCACTAATTTTTAAAAATTTCTCTAATATTTTTTAGTCTGTTAAAAAATGTCATTTCCAGTCCTTTGAGACGTATGACATTTTTTCTGCCATCGAATGTGTTGTGTCACATGATTAATCTAGATATTTCTATTCTGGTACACCACTTGAAAAATAACAATAACAAGGAAGGATATAAAAATTCTGGACTTTGTATATTGTTTTCTCGAAAACAGGAAATCTCGCATAGCAAAAAAAAGTAGTTTAAATGCGGAAGAAAGTATTACTTATTTGATATTTGCCGTATAATTGTAATAAGTTTCAAGCATCAGCATATGTTAATTATGAGTGATATATATATTATATCACTTATTTGGATATTAGTCTTCGAATTTGCAGATTTTGTACGTGGAGAGAATATTTGCCCAAGAGGAAAGTAAGTATATACTTTAATATAAACAAATCCCTTTGGATTTTTTTTCTAAATCAATTCTTCAAGTACATGTAAATGTGTCTCAATTTATTTTTAATTCAGCAAAACACAATGCTGCGCTGGTTATCGAGAGATCGGCGGTGTGTGTACAGGTAAGGGGGGGGGGGTTACTTTCTACTGATAAATAAAAGAAACTATAAATTAGTCAGTTATGTGATACCACTTAATATGGCTTATAACTAATAACTAACTAAGCACTTATCTGAGTGAACAAACCCTACTGTTTTTCTGAGAAAGATTTTCCCCTCTTTATTCGTAGAAAAAAACCCAATCTTTTGGCCCTTTGGCTAAAAAGAGTCATGACCAACCAAATAACAAATTGCACCACATACATATTGGGTACAGCCCACTAATTGTTTTCCCATAGGCGGCAATGTTAACGTTTCTTCACATAGCAATGTCCCTAATTTTCGTTCAGCATTGAGTGACCCCTCAAATCAAAGCACATCAAGTTGTCTTTCCTTGGTTAAAATCTCGAGGTGGCATGTCAGATTCGTTTTCCGGCAAAATGCGTCTGTCTGCGTTAACCTCTGAAAATGAAAGTGAAAGTAGGGGAATTCAAGACTTCTCACTGGTGTTATAATACATAAAATAATTCTGCTGATCTTCTTGATAAATTACATCTGCCAAGCTTTTTTGCAAGGGAACATACTCTTTATCAACAAGTATGAGGCTCAGTTTAATACATTATCACAGTTTTTTAAATTCAGGTCTGCAAATTAAGGAACTTGTAACTATTTCTGTACTACTTTCTTCTCCTACCGATTCTAAAAATAATTAGAGGTATGTACCCAATATGAAAAAGTATTTTCTGGATTTTACAACATTTTACATTAAACGTCATACTACAGTCTACGTAGTGACATTATGCCAAATTTCAGGAAAATTCAATCATTAATAAAGATTTTACAGCATACACAGTTGTATATGCAAAATCCTTTTAAAATGCTTCCATCTAGCCACAACTGCACCCAAATTTGAAGTCATCGGTTAGCCTATTAATGTACTTATATCATTTTTATTCTCTTTCAGAACTTTAAATACATCAAGCAAAATCATAATCAAGCACTCATATGGGTCCATTTCGCTTATTTCAAAATATTAATGCATTTTTGCACAAAATTTTATCATCCCTCACCCTTGAATTCATTGTTTCTCCATGACTGACAAAAAAAATTAAGTTTACAAATACCCCGAAAGTAGTAAAACTAGAAAGTACTCATTATTTCCTGTCCATTGATGTATCATTCAGGAAAATTGGTGTAGGAATAAAAAAGTTATAAGCCTTTACATTCTTGTATACATTCATCTGTTTCAAAGCAATTTTTACGTCAATGCAAGTTCACTCATCTATGACGTCATAATGACATCATAATAATGGATTGCTTATTACACATGTAGTGTTACTTTTCCCGTACTTTTAATTAAAGATGAAATTAGAACTAAAATATTCATTATAACTTTAAAATAATAAAAATACTTACATGAGCAGATCAAATAAATAGTCTACAGAAAATGTTTTGTTTCCATGGTAACCATTTTTTAATTTGTAGGAAAATGATTTGCTCATTCTGACTGACAAATATTAAAGAAATTTCAACTCTTATATTTTTTAATCTTAATATTTTATCATACACAACACTATGAATATAATTATTTTGAAATTCTTTTCAAAATATATTAGCTATAAAATAAAGCATACATGTACATACTAGTTTGATGGTCACTTTCATAGCTCAAATATTCATTTAAAATCTACATTTTCTAAGCTTTAATGACACCTCCCCCCCCCCCCCCCACACACACACACATACACACAAAGAAGCTTTAGAAAATTCAACTTACATATTAAAAGTACTGCGGCCATCATTTTACATGTGAAGACTCGAGATATGTTCAAATGAGTTTGTTTTTACTGACTGATAGTTTTAAACACCATCTGCATGAACCTCGAAGTTGTCCTGTATCACCATGAACCTAAAAAAAAAATCAATTTAAAAAATGGTACAATAATTTATCAGCACCTAAAGCATTCACAGACAGACAACAAACACACACAATCCTACCACATTACTTTTATGCCCATAATTTGATATCAATTGAAAATTATGAATTTGCACTGATTAGTCTCAGCATTGTTAAATTACATGTAAATTAATAATACAGGTAAAAAGCATGTTTACTGACAATAATTATACATTAGACAAATACATGTAATGCATTTAATAAAAAAAAAATGTATTGTGCATGTTCATGCACACACTGCTTTAAAACTTCTACACAACTGTAGCCTGACAGACTTCTTTGAAAGAATGCACATGTATGTCCTCGTTCATGTCATTCTATTTCATGAAAATAAATTTTTCATTTACAATTATTGTAATAAGGCATGGAAACCTTTTTTTTCTTTACATCTTTCATAAAATGACAAATGCATATCACCTACATACTGCAAGACTCTGCACTAGGTAGCACTAAGCAGTTTTGATAACTTACTTGCCACTCTACTTTCACTTTGACCTTGAACTTCACTGAATACTGATTCCGACCTCATTTGTGAATTTTTGTGTATTGAAAATAAACAATAGTGGTGGATGTACTTTTAAAATAATTGTTCCTTTTCTAAATATCTATTAATGGCTCTGAATTAATAAATTGTATAAAATCGATAGATTTAATTTACATGCTACATGTGTACACAATATGGGCGATATGTGCATAAGCTGTCTGTTCCGGGGGGGGGGGGGGGGGGGGAGGAAGTAACAAATCGATTTGTTTCAAAATATGTATAAACAAATTAAAATTTTCTTCTTTCATAAATTTAAACAATTGGAAATGATAGTAAACACCGAGTTCAAAACAAAGTAAAGATCTATGAGAATTTTCTCTTACCAATAGGCTCAACATATTGGGTACAGCCCACTAATTGTTTTCCCATAGGCGGCAATGTTAACGTTTCTTCACATAGCAATGTCCCTAATTTTCGTTCAGCATTGAGTGACCCCTCAAATCAAAGCACATCAAGTTGTCTTTCCTTGGTTAAAATCTCGAGGTGGCATGTCAGATTCGTTTTCCGGCAAAATGCGTCTGTCTGCGTTAACCTCTGAAAATGAAAGTGAAAGTAGGGGAATTCAAGACTTCTCACTGGTGTTATAATACATAAAATAATTCTGCTGATCTTCTTGATAAATTACATCTGCCAAGCTTTTTTGCAAGGGAACATACTCTTTATCAACAAGTATGAGGCTCAGTTTAATACATTATCACAGTTTTTTAAATTCAGGTCTGCAAATTAAGGAACTTGTAACTTTTTCTGCACTACTTTCTTCTCCTACCGATTCTAAAAAATAATTAGAGGTATGTACCCATATATATTAAGATACTTAAGCATAATCGATATGACTAACATGGCTTTGCTGTTCTGGAAAAGATTTTCCCCCGTATTTGTGAATTGTTTAGAATTTAAAAGAAAGAAATTTATTTAAAAATTCAAATGATAACTTTCACAAAATAGAAAAGAAAATTCAATTATTCTATTTTTGCTGCAGTATGTGTTGGTTTTTATGGGAAGAATTGTGCAGTTCCATGTCCAGATGACTATTTCGGTGAAAAGTGTGAGTTTCGTTGTAATTGTTCCCTGGGTGAAGGTTGCAACCCTTACGTAGGATGTCTCTCTGGTGAAACAGGTAGGGCGGACATATTATCAGAGATTTTAATGGCGGGAGTAAAATATGATTATTCTTCTTTGTTTTTTGGGTTTTTTTTTGTCATCAACAGTTTACAAGTAAAAAGACTTCAATATTTCTTTGATTGACCAGGCATATATATAATTAATCAACATGAATTTTCGTATAGATGGTAGGAAGCTCAAGAAAATATTTTTGAATTTCGTTTAAGTATTAACTCATCTAATAAAAATAAGAACTTGCCATTCTGTACATGTGTTATATGAAAAAAATGTCTTTGAAACACATGTGTAAATGAATCGTAAATAATTTTTGCGTTTTTAGACCGAGCAACTGGGGATAAGACAGAATCTCCTCAGAGTGTTCTCAGCTGTGTAACTCCAACAATTATCGTGTTTGTCCTTTGTGGTTCTAATTTATTCTTCCTTGCACTGTGTATTGCGATGATCTGCCATTGGAGGTTTGGTATTAATTGTATTAATGTAGAGTATCCTAACTTTATGTACTTTTAAAATTAATCTTCTATAAACTCTCTTAAATTTATTAAATACCAATCAAACCGTTTTGTAAGATTTGAAAACCCTCAGATGTATGGAAAATATAATAAATAAATAATTTCTTACTAAGATTAATTATTGTAAAAATTATTTCCCAGCTTAAGTAATCTATAGATAGGATTTTACTAGAATGTTTCAATAATATATCTTCTAATTCTACAGACGTTCAAAGAATTCTAAATGTTTGAACTCGAAAACAAATGACTTATATGCTGGACAGATAGACAGCTGTTCCTCGGATCCCCAGCCAGGAAACAGAAACACTATCTCTAATAATTACAGCCATATACGCTTCAAGAGGGAGGAACTGATAATCAATAATTCCGATAACTATAGCAAGGCAGTTTTACCCTACAACACTGAGCAGAATGTAAAGACAGCATCCACTAATAATGGGTTCTCCGAGGAGAATGTGATATCTGAATATCCGGTTGGTGTCATGGATACATTTCGTCCCTCTGTGAAAGTCAGTGATCAAAATCCTACACCACGACCCTACAGTTTAACAAACTATAACAGGGACCCCGCAGAACAAAGTTTCCCAAATACCTCTGGCGAGTACCTGTAAATGTCATCAGATGAGAACAGATCGGGAAGATCATACGTGCCATAAATTGATTCCATGGTATAGAACTAGGGAACGAACATACAGTAGAAATTATTATGGCCAGCACACTATACATTTTTACGCCCCCGTATCGAAGATTCGGGGGTATATAGTTTTTGTCCGTCCGTCTGTCTGTTTGTCTGTTTGTCCGCAAAAACTTCAACATTGCCCATAACTTTTGATTGGTTGGAGCTATGGTTTTCATTTTTCACATGTGTATTCCTTGTGACAAGACCTTTCTTTGGGTACCTCCATATTTGACCTTTTGACCTTGACTTTGAAGTTTGACTCAGTTTTGCAAATTTTTTTCCAAACTTTAACCTTGGGCATAACTTTTGAACGGTTGATGCTAGGGCTTTCATACTTCACATGTAAATTTCTTGTGGCAAGACCTTTCTTTGGGTACCACCATATTTGACCTTTTGACCTTGGCCTTGGAGTTTGACCTACTTTTGAAAAACTTTAACATTGGCCATAACTTTTGAACGGTTGATGCTAGGGCTTTCATACTTTGCATATGTAATCCTTGTGACAAGACCTTCCTTTGGATACCAACAACTTTGACCCTTTGACCTTGACCTTGGAGTTTGACTACTTTTGTAAACGATAACATTGGCCATAACTTCTGAACAATTAGTGCTAAGGCTTTCATACTTAGCATATGTTATTCTTGTGACAAGACCTTCCTTTGGATACCAACAACTTTGACTCTTTGACCTTGGAGTTTGACCTACTTTTCGAAAACTTTAATCTTGGACACAACCTTTGAAAAGTTGTTGCTTAGGCTTTCATACTTAGCATATGTAATCCTTGTGACAAGACCTTCCTTTGGATACCAACAATTGTAATCCATTGACCTTGATCTTGGAGTTTGACCTACTTTTTTAAAACACTTTAACCTTGGTCATAACTTTTGAACGATTGGTGCTTCAGCTTTCATATTTCACCTGTATATTTATTGTGAGAAGGCCTTTCCTTAGGCACCATTAATTTTGACCATTTGACCTTGACCTTGATGTTTGAATTACTTTTAAAAAACTTTAACCTTAGCCATAACTTTTGAACAGGTGCTGCTAGGGCTTTCATATTTCACAGGTATATTCCTCGAGACAAGACCTTACTTTGGGTACCAATATATTCGATTTGCATTTGAGAAAGTTTAACCTTTGCTATAAGTTGCCATACGGGGGCATCAGTGTTTCACAAACACATCGTGTTATAAGACGAATTAATGTATATAAATACATAATTACCGGATCGGGATTTTAAAATGATTTTTAATCTCGAACAGGTCACATCACTATTTTTAGTGACTTCGCAACCCGAACGACAGGTTTTCTAGCATGCACGCAAGCGCACACACATTTCAGCAGAATTTCAAACTGTGTGCATTTTTCTACATTTTAAACTTAAGCAGTGGTAAGTGGGTGTTTACGTGTGGCAGCTGCATCTTTCAGTACCACCACCACCACAAAATAGAACATTTATGATTGTGCTCATTTCCCTAGATTCAAAATCCCAGAGACTTTTTTTTTTCAATGTTTTACTAAATCTTCAAGTTTTTGAATTTGTATTTTCATTAAACCTCTTTTGAGTCGTCTTTTCTTCTGTCATTTTCCTTCCACAATACGTTCTTCTTGATTTTCTTTTGATTTTCATGATTTTTTTTTCACAATTTTCATTTTTTTTCTTCCCTTTTGAGATTATTTTATCCTAGAATTCATAGCAGTTTCCTTTATAGTGATTCTCAATCAATCGATCATTATTTAAAACTTATTTTAGCATTTAAATTAATCCTTGCATACTTGAACATTTGCGATTGCATATCGCTTATCAAGGTGAAGATCATCAAAAGTCCCATTAAATTTTATTCAGTGGTAAATCAAATGTTGCAGATAGGAGATGGGTACCCCAAGGCGTAACGGACGGACCGATTCACGTATAGACGGATGGACAACCCCATCACAATATACCTCTATTTTGGGAGGCAGGGGGTAAAAAAAAGCTAAAAACAAAGTCAAGAAATCTGACTTTACGGAAATAGGAAAAGTCAAAGTCAAAGGCTGTAAAAATTTTAATGTTCTTATCAATTAATTTTGATAAAGAATATTGAAAAAAAATGGATGAAATTACTTTTTAATTTAATTTTTAAACATTATTTAATTTATGATAATCATACATGCAATGGGAGTGGACAACGGGCACTTCTTGAATAAGTCCTCTCCATGGTACAAGGTCAAAATTATACGAACTTTTTGGTTTTATAAATATTTATGTTCTTTAAATACTTAAACATAATAGTTCAAATAAACAGTTTGATACCAGCTATTTGTAAATGATTGATATTTTTTTGTTTAAAAATTTACAATATTAGATAAGATGAAATAAAACAGGTATAAATATAAAATATAACAAAATCACATTAATAGATGTTTGAATTACCATATTTATATTGGATTCCGAAACTTCATAAACTCCTTACAAAACAAGATATATAGCGGGTTCCAGTAAATGTTCTACCAAGCATATTTCTTTACTCATTATATAAAATAGCAACAGCATTGAAGGAGAAACTTCAGGAGTACCGTGTAACAATATATATGAGAAGAAATAGTGTAAATCAGATGTAGATACTTAAAAATTCCAGGGAACTTTTTGAAAATTTGAAATCACAAAATTTAACCAAAATCAATAATATCAAATATTACGACTTTTAAACTCAATATACAACCATTCCCCACGATAAATTAAAGCTTTTTGACATAATTGACAGCTGCTTTTTCAATTAAAATGGAACTCGTAAATTTGCTTACCTTGTCATTGGTAATATGCAAAATTATTTTGGTAAACATACTGATTATACACACAAGTACTCTGAAGTTGATATTAAAAAAGATGCTTCAGTTTCTGATTGATATGTGGATTTTGGAGACCAGGTCTTCCAACAATCTGTTGGAATTTCCATGGGTACCGATTGCGTCCCTTTAAGCAGACCTATTTTTGTATTCAATTAAGCAGAATTTATTCAAAATCTTATTCAAACTAACTCTTGTTGTGGCCTTCAACTCGACATTCAGATAAATCGACGACGTATTATCAATTAACAATAGTTATTTCCATTCATATGTCGACACGATATATCCCAGGGAGCTTGAAATAAAAGATACCTCAGAGTCTGACACATCTGTTTCATTTTTGGATATTTTACTAGAAAAGGACATTAATGGTAATCTAACGACAAAGCTCTATGACAAACGTGATGACTTTTCAAACGTTAACGTCCCTTACTTATGCAGCAATATAACCTCATTACCTGCATATGGGGTTAATATCTCTCAGTTGATTCGATATGCAAGAGCATGTTATACGTTTGAACAAATTCTAAAAAGAGGTAAGTTATTGAAAAACAATTTGATGAAACAAGAATATCAACAATCTCGTTTAAAGTCATCATTTCGTAAGTTCTATGGTCGATACAATGGCCTTGTCAGCAAATACAATCTATCATTAAGGCGAGTGCTGACTGATGTTTTTCATACTTATTGTTAGGCCATAATTTACACATTGAATTGTGTACAGATTTTCCCTTTATATCCCGATTATGACAAGGAGCACATGGCGGGTGTGACTGGTCGGCAGAGGATGCTCTCTCCTCCATGGCACCCTATTCAACCTCTGATTTTTTACAGGTCTGTGTTTGCTCTGCTCCTGATTTGTATTGTTTGAATGGACTTTTGAGCTTGGATACAGTTCGTTATCTCCATATATTTGTGATTTGAAGATTAAACAAAATCATAAAACTTTCTTTGTGGACAGAATTAATTCATGTACAATTCTAAATACTGGAACATTTTGGTTGTAATAAAAAAAATTACTGTCTCCATGCAAAACAGATTCTGCAGATAAATGAAGATGGTAATAATAAATCAAAAAATAGTGAAAGTGCCTTTCCTTGCAATATTTTGGCCAAAAAAGTGAAATGTTTTAGAACTGACAGATATAGCCATAGCTTCACAACATCTAATTTTCCCTTAACCGCAACGTTTTACGGAAGATAACACTGCTCAAAAAACCCGTTTGTTCGACGCAGTTAATATTAGTTATATTCTTAATCACAAATGTTTCCAGTCTTTTATTCCACCATATTTCAAGTTGAAGTCCACACCTTGTATTTCTTATAAATATACATCGACATTTGCTTCCAAACTTTTAAGTACAAAAAAACTCTACAATGCCTAGATATCGAACATCTGATACATAATCCTCCTAACGTGTTCATATTCTTTTTCAACTTACAACTATAGTCCTGCTGGACACGTCATTACTGGTGATGTCAACATAGTTAATGAGGACCTAAATCCCTTATTTTAAAAGGGCCAAAATTTAGGGAACCCCGTTCTTTCAACTGGCGTCATAATTTTATAAAAATTATGATTTCTGTGAAAAATTACGCCAGGCGATGGACCAAACAAGAAAAAGAAGACCTTGATACTTTCTCAGAATGGATTAAAAACATCAGATGGATGCTGAAATCTCGCATTAAGCGTTTGAGGGGCTGTATGAAAACTATTTATCCTTTGTCTTAAATAATTCAGAAGTGAAAAAGGAATTACATAGATAACACGATCAGTATGTACTGGTCCCAGCTGACAAAGCTGGTAACAACATAGTCTTTGTTTGTAAGACTCATTATTTGAATTGTATTTTAGAGGAATTAGGATTTAATTCTACGGGTGGAAATCCACCTTTCACCCATACTTCCCTTTCTAAGGAGGAAATTCTTAAAAATCATATGCCCGTATAAGATAATTTTAATATCTCCAACAATCAAAATGAATTTGAATTACCATGCCTTTACTGGATTCCTAAACTTCATAAAAATCCATACAAACAAAGATACATAGCGGGTTCCAGTAAATGTTCTACCAAGCCTCTTTCTTTACTCCTAACTAAAATTTACCGTAATGAAGGAGAAAGGCTATTATTTATACACTGAACGGTCTACGGATTTTTCCGGTTTTTGTTTCCCGATCATGACAAGGAGCACACAACGGGTGCAACCGGTCGGCAGAGGATGCTCACTCCTCTATGGCACCTGATCCCGACTCTAAATTTTGAGGTCCGTGTTTGCCCTGCTCCAAATTTGTATCGTTTTATTGGACTTTCGAAATTGAATACTGTTCGGTATCTTCATATTTCATGTGAAGAAAACGCACAGTAGTAATGCTCAAAAGTCCATTGAAACAATACAATTTCTGCGCAGAGCAAATACAGACCTCAAAAATCACCAGAAGCGGGATCAGGTTCCAAGAAGAAAGCATCAACGGGTATACCTGGTAACACGCTCCGTTTGCTTTTTGTCATTATTTGGTAAACAGAGAAATCCGTGGTTAATTTAATATGAAAATAATGGCCTTACAAGTTATGTGAAAGACCTATTACTTCTATCAAATCATAGCAATGTAATTATGTGCGAAATTGTAGAGCATAAGATGTGTAAATATCCGATACAATAGATGTAGAGCATAAGATGTGTAACTATCCGATACAATAGAAAAGAGAAAGATTATTTCTCTCAATTGCACGAAGTTACCATTCTTTAAATGTCACTGGCATCAGTAAGTCGTAACTTTTATTTAGAGGTTAGAAAGATTCATATTTGGATAATCAGGAAGACACTGTCGTGACTGTTATAGAATATATACAAGCGTATATCAAATAAAGAGTTTCACGTACATACAATTCTGAGTGTGCATGATGTCCATTAATTACAAAATATATTTTAGAATAATTTCCTGTTTTCTAATGAAAGGAAATTGTAATCTACATGTCGAATACATTTTCATTCAGATGTAGAATCGGCATAATGAACATACTCCGATCTTGCTCGATAATTCTAGTCCTGAAAGTAATATTGAGTGTTGGCGACGAAAAGGGGTGTAGAACTGAACATCATAAGTAAGTTTTTTTTCTATTGGCCTTTCACGTGTAACTGGTAAAATCATGTTAAGAACATTGGTATTTTAACAAAAATATATCATAATTTATGTTGTTTGTTTAACGTCTCTTCGAAAATTTTTCACTCATATAGAACGCTATCACTTGCCGATAGAGGACTGTGAATTTAGACCTGTACTCGGCACTTACGGCCTTTGAGCAGTGAGAGATCTTTTTCATGCTAGCACCTACTCAGTTTATACGATCTCATCCGAAGGACCGGTCTCCACGTTTCGCAGTGGGATATTTGAATCTGCAGCATAAGGATCAACCCCTTACTCCGCGACTCCAGAGGAAACGCTCCAACAACTGCGCCACGCGGAACAAATTATGTTGTAATCAGCAAAAATAATCCAATTACTTTAAAGTAATCTTTTGCAAATCTGATTTTTTCCATCCTGACAAGACTTATTTATCGAAGCATAGTTTCAATTTTTTCCTTATTTTTCTGATAGTTTTGTTATTGAAAATGTCTATTAACAGAAAAAAACCCTTTCATTTTTCAGTCAGACTCTTTTCTGTTGTTCTGGGTACAAAAAGATTAACAAAACATGTACTGGTAAGTAACAAAACTTGGTTGAGGAACTAATCTTAGTACTATTCATGTAAAATTCAATTTCAGTCATTTAAACAGGTCATTCATTTATACTGTATAAGCAGAACTTTTAGCGAGGATTTAATTTTGGCATTATTAGCGGGAGTTTTGATATCGCTGAAATTAAATGATGCTTACAATTCATTCTGAATCAATGGTTTTAGCTATTTTTCTGGATATTATAAAATCGCTAAAAATTACTTTTCGCTAAAAATACTTTCGAATTTTGATGGATAAATTGATAAATTTGAGTCTCGCTAAAAATTCCACTTAAAGGGTTCTCTGACCCACATAAGCACTTTCATCATATCTAAAGTTACATGATAAGTCAAAATCATGTGTTTCTTTTAAAATTTGTGTATTATAAAGCGAAAGATTTATGAAAAATATGAGTATAGCAAACTTTTGACAAACTCGACTTCACTGTAAAGCAAGGAGGAAGTGCCTGAAAAACAAAGGCCGTACCTACTGTATCGTGATTAGCGTTCATGTCAAGGTCTTGTGACTTTAAGCGTAAAACTTATAAACAATATTGACTTGGAGATTGCAAAGGTGAAGAATATGTTCTAATAAACGTTTTTGAAGACTGTATCAAAATCCTCGGTCTACCGAGATTCATTTCTTGGGACTCGAGACCATGGTAACTCTTCCAACTTTTCTGCGCACACGTACAATGAGGAGGAAGAAGTGACGCAATATTTAGTCATTGGATGGACATTTTTTTCCTCCATAGCCGTAGATTTTTAGGTTCTGAAACCTGCAATATTCTGAAACCTTATACATAAACTTTAAGGAATGGAACAAAATGTGAATGTGTCATGCAAAAATTCTAGTTTCAATCGTCAATTTTTAACTCTTTGCATCACCGTGTCGCTTTAAAATGTTGTCATATTTTCAAATATAATAATAAACAGTAAATTTTATCATTTCCAAAACAATTTTAACCAGATTGGATACATACTACTTAAAACATATGAAACAATTTTGCATAGTCTACGGATATTTACGATGTAAATTTCGTAAATAACTGTCAAGCACGCGAAGGATTTGTCGTTTTTTCCAGAGACTATCCAAGTGTCACGTATAATTTGATTTCGAACTTGCACAGCGCCGTTATATTATTAAGAGGAAGCAACGAAATATCATGAATAACGTTATTCCGAAGTGGCAGCCAAAACGTTAAATTTCAGTAGGCTTTGATTTGACAGTGTGTAAATCTACTAGTTGAACTCGAGGGATCCTATCAAGCAAAAAGTTATGGAAAAAATATCTTCTATAATTCCCTTTATGCTTTTAACATTACCTTCTCCCAAAGTGACCATGCTAAAATATACTTTGTTATAGAATGCGTTGGATTCTACGGAAAAGATTGTACTATAGAGTGTCCGACTGGGTTTTATGGGAAATTGTGCAAACAAAAATGTATGTGTACAGAAACAGAAACCTGCAATCTGTTTGTGGGATGTGTGGACATTAATATAAAATGTAAATGGAATAGTAAGTGAACATTTAACACATTAATCTCCACAACATTGTAAAAAAAAGGTTTATTCCTCTATTAAGTTGAAATTTAGCTTTCTCCAGTAGCCAGTGAAAACAGGAGCACGCCAGGAAATAAGGATATGAGTTAAGTGCACTGATATAGTTCAAATATTGAAGATGAAAATATGAAATAGTATTGCTAAACGGTTAAATGTTAAATAAGTCTTTGTAATATTATGTACACAATAATTATCCAAAAATTTTTGGCTTATTAACTATAGAAAAACTTTCATTAACAATTAGCATCAGTATGTGACAATAGATATTTCCCTTACTTCTGAGGAACTCAATTTACAGTTGATGGGCATCTTTTTTTCGAATTCCAAATTATGAGTGAAAAATACAAAATTCAAATAATTAATTTGTTCTAGAATGAACATAAGTGCAGGAGTCAGTATTCATTGTAAACAAGTATGAAATAGTTAAGAAAAATGACAATATGAGAGTTGAAAATACTGTTTGAAGATATCAATTATCATAAGAATTTGACATGTTAGCATCAAATGAGTCTTAACCATGTCTATACGAGATCTACGTAAAATACACCTTGTCATTCTAAAGTGTGTACCTAATATAATCTTTGTTATGTTCATAATCGGCCTTTAACTGTTCTTAAAGACGACGGAATATATTCGATTATCTGAAAATGTTATGTTCTTATCGCGGGACTGTACTGGCCTATCCATAAGTGATAGTCCCTTTTGAAGTTGTAACGGCTAGGTACTTTTTGAATTTAATGGATAATTTTCTTCTATGCTTTTCTCAAGTGGAGTCAATTCTCTTCCGTCCCACTTTTTCTTTCATTTCTTACTCCAGAATGTTCCTTACGGCAGTATGTCTTTATTGTTGATATTTTTAGGCAACAACGAGACAAACCCTATACAGGAATGTGATTTACTTGTCCATGCAGCCATGGGATTTGTTGTTCTGCAGATTTTTACCTTAATTTTCATTTCACTTTTATGTTTATACAGGTGAGTGGACAGATATAGTGTAAAACATTAAATAGTATTTCTTTGAAGCAAAATGAACTGCAATTTTCTTGGCGTGAATTTGTTTCTTGTACGTAAAAATGAAATTAGCTTTATAATTTCAGAAAAAAAAGTTTATAAACTAGTAAAAAACACTCGAACAAAAGTTACATATCAATTGTCTTGATTTCTTGTATTCTATTAGGCATTCCCTTAGTACAGAAATATTTCTTTATAAACATTGACGCGCATATTTTATTTTTCAGAAACGTTAAAGTTTCATTCTAAAATATCATTATATCACATTCTCACAACAAAATAAAATTCTCAAAAAATACAGCTCATATTGCTTTAAGCAAAAGATGAATAGAAATGCTATTTAGGTAGAATTACATATATTTAACATGATAAAGTTATCTTTAGATATCGAAGACTCAGCAAGTATGAGATCCAAAATATTATGGACAAGTCGACAGATTCACCTAATCAGTTTCAGGAATTGCAATTGATTCGTTCTGAAGAACTTGAAGAAAATATAGATTTTCTTCCAGAAAGTATGAAAGAGAACACTAATCATAAGGTACACGGAAAACAAACACATGACTACAGTCGGGTGTACTTTCCTAAATTCAAAATCGTTGATACACCAGCCGACGAATACAGCAAAACTATTATAAGCAGACAACAGGTTGATGAACATAAAAGGAAAATTGTATATTCTAAAGATCAAGACAAAGTCAATATGCAAAGTACGATTTTCTTCTACAGAACAACCTAATTTAAGAGAACCAAGACCTTATAGTCTTGCAAGAATGACTTGGAATCTCTAAGGTTGATTTTAATCTTTAAATAATTGTTGAGTTATAATAAAATATAAAGAAGGTTTTGTTTAGAAATATACTTCTCTATCATTTGATTATTTCAGTTAAGGAACATTACAAGAACGAAATGTATAGACGAACAGTGATCATTATCAAAGTCTATTTAAGGAATTTGCAACATAGTTTGAACTTTATTGGCTTTTTCCCTGGAGTTGAAGAGTTCCAATACTTGAAGTACCTGTGTGCTACTCTTTAATGTCTATATATGGTGCTTTACACTTCTTCTAAAACAAATTTGAATGAAAAAAACATTAAGGATATATGTTTAGTAATTTTTGTATATTTTTCTTTGAATTACGTATAGAAGAATTTTCATCAATTGAAATCTATTCAAAACCTCGGTAATGCATGCTGATTTTTTGTCTATGAACATCTGATGGTACTATAATTTTGAATTAAGAATATCTTGAAAAATTATCAGTAGGTAAGGTACGTTGCGTATGTCCTTAAACAATACATATTATGAGCAGAGCCAACATGGACCCATCGTGCTTCAAGGTGTTTGCTTCTTGTATAATTTAGAACGTTTTGTCAAGAAATATTTTAACAATAATAAATAAAATTCAAGTATCTTAATCATATTTTTTAGAAGAGTGGTAGAAGAGTTTAAAATATTAAAGAACAAATTTTGCAACGTCTTGAAAACTTTTTAATGCAACAATAGATTTATCCATTTTTCTTAATACAACCAATATTTGTATTTAAGTCTATTTCTGGCAAATTCTTTATTAGGAACTAATAAGCTGAGACTCATTTTAGCTTTAACAAGGAATGAATAAATCATAGTATTGATTTCAAACTTGATTAAAATATTTCAAAAGAGGATAATATGTTTTCCCGGTCGGAATGGGTACAAAGAGTGGAATGGAGTACAGTTCCTTAAATGTTTGATAATAAACATCGATTAACATTCATGTTCCACTCATGTAATTCAGAAATGGTCCCTTAATTAACAAATTAATTTTCACATGTATGAAGCATATAATTGGTATACCCATAGAAAAATAATAAAATAATAAGAAATTTTGAACATAGATCACTTAAAAAAAACAATACAAATGTTTTGTGTTTCCTGAGAAAAAGTAAATGTATATTTAAATTGGCATAAACACCCTTTTAAGATAATAACCTATCTCACAATTCAAATCTGATTCCGCATTAATTTGAAAGACAGAAAATACACAATATAAATTAAATTGCTTATACTTTAGATGACTTTTTAAAGAATCATTCTTCTGACTGAAATAAACGTTTCATTGTTTCCTGCTTTTTTTCTCACATTTTTGACACCCATTCCCACCTCTGGAGTTTCCAGATGAGTGGCGTGGAGTCAGAGATGAGCTGTCAAGGTGGGAAAAAAGGTCAGACACAGGCCGGAGCCGGAGCCCTCAATCAGATTGGAATGTTTTTACTTTGTTTACTGTTAGGTGGGCCACACCAAAAATGCGTTGCCATCATGGTTTTTTAAGTACAGGATGGAAGCATTTTTTCCGATTTTTGATACGATAAAAACTTCCGACTCTTGTGCTGTACGTCTCCACATACATGTATAGGTAGTTTAAAGGTGCTTAGACACAGATTTAAACTTGATATTTTCTCAAATTTTCTGTATAATATCACGACTTATACAAGGCAATAGAATTCACACGAAAATATAATCAAAAACTTATTTTATCTGAAAATTTTTGGATCTACGAATTCCTGGGCGCTTTTGATTAACACATCTTTGCACGTACACAAATTTTAACTTTATCCTTAATATTTAAGAAAAGAAGCACTTTTGTTAAGTATTAATGAAAAAATATTACATCTATAATCCAGAAAATTCAGAGTAGAAATGTTCGAAAGCAAAACGAACTCACCAGTATTGTCAGTCCGTGCTCTGTGATGTGTACAGAGTTTAACAAATTGAACACACCCGTGAAACGTAAACTGTTTTTGTAAGGAGGGCACGAGCTCTGTTATTGTTAATGTTTACGATTCACCGGGTGTGTTCAATTGTTAAACTCTGCACACACCACGAAGCACGGAATTAAATATACTGTGAGTGGGTTTTGCTTTCGAACATTTCTACTCTGAATTTTCTGGGTTATAGTTTTAATATTTTTCATTAATACACAACAAAATTGCCACTTTTCTTAAGTATTAAGAATAAAATTAAAATATGTGAAAGCGCAAGGATATGTCAATCCAACGCGTCCATAAATTTGAAGTTTTATAACTTCGATATGAAATAAGATTTTTATTATATTTTAGTATGAAATGCTATAGCAACATATAAGTCATGAAATCATACAGAAAATATGAGAAAATATTAATTTCAAATCTGTGTCCAAGCACTTTTAATGACGCGTCCTGGTTAACACCGTTCACAAACAAATACTACTCGTTGAACGTTTGTTAACTTAGACCTAACGGTTATTTTATTGTTTAATAAGGGCATATTTTCATAAGTTGTTCATTGACAAGTTTTCCTTTCAAATAATAAAAAGTAACACGGTATTAGTCTTACATGAGGGTCTTACATGAGGGTTGTCCATAAAGTTCGTGGACAGATGCTATAATTAAATAAATTATTACCCCACTGGTACTGTATTATATCAATATAGACTACAACTTAGCAAATGTGTAAAATTTAAAACAATGCACACAATTTTATGATCTTCATAGGTGTAAATACTTTGTTTATGAAAGCCGCACGGCCCAGTCTGACGTAAAGCTATTTTCATGATAACGTCAAAAATTTGGATTTTGAATTTTTTCATATATTCATGGACATACACAATATTTTTAATCTTATGCCACACAGACAAGTGTGTGCAATAATATTCATTTATAGACTATAATTGATTTCATTTTCAATTTTCAATTATTTACGAGCGTCATCAGTATAAACACTTTATATTCAAAGGCTGTGCAGTCCAGTCCGATGTTGCGCTAGATCTATAACAACGTCGTGAATAGGGATATCATATTATCGCCAGATAATACTGGTTTTCCACTTCTTGGAGTGTCTCCAAAATTGTTCACACCGTTGAATAATCATTTATACCAATTTCAAATCAAACTAAATATATTCCAAATCTTGCAAGTTCTTTGATTAAATATTTTCTCTGACTTCCATTCAACCATATTAAAATAATTTTATGATTGGACGCTGTTCCGTTGGCTAAGAATGGCCTACGTCGCTTTTTCTGGCAACTTTTGAAACATAGTTTTGCAGTTTTTAGCTCACTCGAACCGAAGGTTTAAGTAAGCTTTTCTCACAATTTTGTCCGTTGTCTGTCGTCGTCTGTTGTCGTCGTTGTAAACTTCACATTTTCATATTCTTCTCCAGAACCACTGAGCCAATTTCAACGAAACTTGGCAAAGATATCCTTGGGTAAGGTGTATTCAAGTTTGTTCAAACGAAGGGCCACACCTTCTTCAAATGGGAGATAATTAAGAAAGAGTAAAAATTGGGTTGGGTAATTTAAATCCCAGTCACTTTTCCAAAAACGACCAATGGCCTGAGGCAAAAATACGATTCTTCGGACGACAGTCGGCAGTTCATTAGACGTTATCTTGCCCGATTTTTACCTCTTCTTTCATCAACCGACCAATTTTGTGTCTCTCGGGCCATGCATGTTATAATTTTTTTCTGCGTCAGTGGCCGACCCCGTCAATTGAAATAGTCCGTTGACCAACCTTCGATAATCGTCTGACTATCGCGGCAGACAGTTTGTTAAGTCGGTCGTTGGTCGGTCGACATTTGGGAATTGGTTTTCGTAAATGTTGACCGACTGTGAAAATAAAACCGCGGCTGAGCGAGCGATGATCGGGGGACTGTTGGCCATGCCTCGGCCGATCCTTGACTGTTGGAAGTCCATTGGGCACTAATTGTGCTCCTTTATTTATATTCCCAAGAAGAAAATTTGTTAAAAAAAAGTTTACATGAGAAGAAAACACCACTTCCTGTGGCCTTTAACTCGACATTCAGATATATCGACGACATTTTATCAATTAACAATAATTACTTCCATTCATATGTCGACTCGCTATATCCAAGTGAATTTAAATAAAAGACACCACAGAATCTGCCACATCTGTTTCATATTTGGACATTTACTGACTTTAGACGATAAGGGCCAACTAAAAACAAAATTGTATGACAAACGAGATGACTTCAACTTTTCCATTGTCAACATTCTTTATTTATTTAGTAATGTTCCACTCTCACCTGCATATCGTGTTTACGTCTCCCAGCTTATTCGATGCTCAGGTGCATGTTTTAAGTACGATCATGGATTAAACAGAGGCAGCCTACTGATAGATAAGATGATGTTGTAGGGATTTCAACGATCTTGTTTTAAAGTCAGCATTTCATAAATTCTATGGTTATGACCTTGTAAATAAATAATACCTTTCATTGGGTCGTATTTTGGTTGGCGTGTTTAAAGCAATATGAGCTGCATTTATGAGAATTTTATTTTGCTGATAAAATGTGTTATTATGATTAATTTGTATGTAATTAAACCTTTTTGATCAATTAGACAGAAAAAAAGTATCAAATTGTTTCAGAATAAAGGAATATATTATATAGTATTGTATAAGAAATCATTATTTTACAGGACGTCAATAATATAATTTTGCTTCAATCAAAGCTTATAAATAGTCCTTCCATCGAAAATATGAACAACAGAAATTCACAAACATTCTTTTTTTCTGTCATTGAAATAGTAAATTACAATTTGCAACAAAAATTTCTGTCATCAAAGTTGCAGCTCACATTGCTTTAATACCAATTGTTAGATCTTTTTTGATACCAAATTTGACTTGAGAATGTCCCGTCTACCTAATCAATACAAAGGTCTCATGTTGGGTGTGATCGGTAAACAGGGGATGTTTACTCCTTCTAGGCACCTGATCCCACCTTTTGAATTTCAGGGGTTCGTGTTTGATGTTCACAGATTTGTTTTATTATATTTTTGACATGAATTATATTATTGATCGTTATGTTCACTTTTTCATGATTAATCTGTAGTGTTCTGTTTTCTCGAAAACAAGAAATATCACATGACATGTATATATATACATATTAGATTAAAAAGTTATGGTTCATTGATGCACTGATAAGAGAGATAAATGTTTATGGGATTATATTAATGTCTATTATTCCTTTGTAAGTTTGACAAATTGAAATGTACATATTTTAAAATATAAGCTATACTGCCATAGAGATTTTCAGTGATAATTATCCATAGACACATGGCCGTAGGAACCGGGGGCACGGGCTGCCCCCAATTATTTTGCCGATACATGTATATAGATTACTATAGAAAACAAAGATGCTATATGCTTGTGCCCCCTCAATAAAAACGTCTGATGTGATGGCCTTTTTTTTGCTGGTCAAGAAATTTTTGTAGTTGATAGTGCCCCTCAACTGAAAAATGTATGGCTGTGCCCCCCTTCCCCAAACTGAAAATGTTTTCTACGGGCCTCAGACATATAGAGGATATGGAATTTTCAGAAAAACATATTTTTGCCTTGCGGTCGCACATGCTTACAATTGCAATTGATCTACCCGAATACACTAGATGTCAAGTATGGGTAAAACACAAAGTCCGGAGTCAATTGAGATTAGAAGCTACATTCTTACTCGCTGAACCCTTGGTTTAGAATAAAGTGAAATATTTTAAGAAAATTATTCGGATATATGTTGGGTCTGTTATTTCAAACAAGGGAGTACAGATTGGTTATCAAATTAAAAAGTGCAGAGTACGTGTTTCCGATGACAAACATTCTGCAAAACCGCCAAGTGTACATGTAGTCACCAAAAGTAATGTTTCCAAAACCCTTGATATTCTTTAAAAAGATGCATGACCTACTATCAAAGAAATAGCAAGAAGTGTTGGAATTTCAAAAGGTAGTGATTTTAACATTTTAAGATTCAAATCAAAGTACCGAAACGAAAAAAAATTCAGGTCGAAATCAAGGTCGATTCCGTATGTTTTTACCAAATACAGGAGCGGATCCAGGAATTTTTTTTCGGGGGGGGGGGCACCCCAGTCAAAAAAAATTCAAACCTAAAAATTCTTGACAGGCAAAATACCCCCCCCCCCCTAAATTTCTTTCCCTACCCAGAGTAGTAACTCTGCAAATTCCAGGGGGGATGGGGGTCCGGAACCCCCCCCCCCCACCCCCTCTAGATCCGCGCATGAAATAGCAGAAAAGAGACCGTTTACATATGTGCCAAAAACTATTGAAGATATTTCAGATATGGAAAATAGGAAACCCGAGTCAGATCGTTTACAGGTTATAAAACGTGGGTTCACATTTTCCAGCCTAAAAGAAACGTAAAAATCAGGTCTGGATTGCAAAGAGAATGAAGATATACATTCATTCATGAATATTCATACATTTTACAACAAAAGACGGCCAAATACTGACTTGAGAGGCATTAAACTTCTGCATGGCAATGCTCCTGTCCATTAAGCAAAAATCATACAGGACTATCTACGGCGTCAAAAATTCCTTTAACTGCAATGTTCTGCATATTCCCCTTATCTTTCTCCATGTGACTTTTTCCTACTTCCAAAACTAAAAGAAGTACTCCCTTGAAGGAAATTTCTATCGTGTAAAGCGCTGGGCTTACTATTTTTTCAGTATTTGAGGAGTGTACCACAATTTATTTATTTACTTGATTAAACGACTTCAGCTCTATATTAAATATCAGGGAGATTCTTTTGAAGGAATGCAATAAATAATTTAATTTTTCATTTTGTGACTGTTGCTGTAATATAGATTGGAACAAAAAATTGAATGCCCCTCAAACAGTTTTGAACGATTACAAAACATTACAAAATACATGAATATATTTTAGTTATGTAGTTTGAAGATTAAAAGAAAACAAATAATAAAAAAAATCCCTTCGTGGATAGCATTAGTTCATGTATAGTTCTAAATACTGCAACATTCTAGTTGCTATTCAGATAAGTGTCTCCATTTAAAATAAGCTCTAAAGAAAAAAGCATTAGTAATTACAAATTAATAGAAGTTTGTTTAGGTGCCTTTGTATACAATATTTTAGACACAATAAAGAGTAAAATGTTTCAGAACTACTTCCACACATATAATAACTAACATTCACCCTTAAATTACTTTTATCACTTTTAACATCATACCAATGTAATTATTATGTGCAGCCTTTGCATGAAACATTAAATATATAAAGTATCTGATACCTGCAATCTGAAAGAATTCCATTCATGGCATAACTTACTCATCCTTAAATTAAATTTATCGTATCACTTTTAACACCATATTATTGTTCTTATGTGCAAAGTTTGTACGAAGCATCAGATATTTAAATTATCTGATACCTGCAATTAAAAAGAATTGAATAATAGTATTTTTTTTCTCAACTGCATCAGGCTATCACTTTTCAAGTATCACTGGCACCAGTAAGTTGTAAAACAAGTCAATCTAATTGAAAAGAGTAACATTATTTTTCTGAATTGCATTCAAGTACCATTTTTCAAATGTCACTGGCACCAGTAAGTCATATTTACAGTTTATTTAGGGATTAGAAAGATTAATATCCTGGATAATCAGAAAGACACTTTGGTGACTGTTACAGGATATGTACAAACTTACATCACATAAAGCACTTCACGTTCATACAATTCAGAGTTTTTCTGAGCTGTATAAATTACAAATATATATTTCAGAATATCTTCCTGTTTTTTTTAAAATAAGGAAAATGTAATCAAAATATCGAATACATTTACATTCAGATGTAGAATCAACATAATGGACATACTCCTATCTTGCTCGATAACTCTAGTCCTAAATGTGGGATTGGGTGTTGGTAACGACAAGGGATGTGGAACTGGACATCTAAAGTAAGTTGTCTTTTTATTTCCGAGATTTATTCGTCTATGTAGTGTGTATAGGAGCATTCTTCCTGTTCTTACACATAAATACGGGATATAAATCATGTTATAAGAACGGTGCAATTTTAAATTAAAATGTACCATACTTTTTTGCACACAATTGTAAAACTTCCTTACCAAAGCATCGTTTAAACTTTTCATTATATTGAATTGCTGATAGTTTTCTATTCTTTGCATATCATTAATAAATGCTTTTATTTTTCAGTCCGTCTGTAAATTGTTGTTCCGGTTACATAAAAATTGAAAATACATGTACAGGTGAGTAGTAAGAAATGTTTTTCCTTACTTTGTGTAGAATTTTACTTAAAACGTTGTAAGCGGATATTTCTCCTTTTTACGTTTCATGTTCTCTAGCTTACCATGCCATTATTTACTTAATTTGTAACAGAATGTATTGGGTTCTACGGAAAAGATTGTTCTACAAAGTGTCCATCTGGATTTTATGGAAAATTATGTAAAGAAGAATGTAGGTGTAACGAAACAGAAACTTGCGATCCGTACGCAGGATGTGTTACCAATAATGTCAAATGTACATGGAATGGTAAGTAAACAATCAACACAATGATCACTATTAGAGGTCAATTGAAAACTAGCTAATTCAGGGAAAAAGAAAAGGTTGGAATAACTAAAATAAAATGCAGATTTAGATAGAAAAGGCGACCTTGGCTTTTCACTTTTTACCTAAAAATAAACAGGGGTATTTTTGAATTTAAAAAAGAATATGACCTTACGTTTCATTGCAAAAACTTTCAGAGAACTAGTTATCTGAAAACTATTTATTTGATATATGGATTTCTGACCTTGGTTTCTGATCAATTGAACTAAATCAGTAGGAGTCTTACCTTTTTTTTAAAATCATATCTATTAAAGGCTTGGGTTTCATTGCAAAATCTCAAAGAAAATTAAAGTTATCCGCACCCCCCCCCCCCCCCCAAAAAAAAATTATGTTATGCAAGATATGGATTTTTGACCCTGACCTTTTTGACCATAAAATCAATGAGCATTTAATTTTTGTCATTTGGAGTTATGATGTGAAAGAAAATAAAGTTATCATCAGTAATCTATTTTTTGCAATGTTTGGATTCGACCTTTTGCTTAAAGTCAATAGAGTTTTCTTTAAGTCACTGGAAGTTATTATAGCTCAAAGACAACTAGAGTTATCATCTCAATTCTTTTTTTTTTTTTTGCATATACGTATATATGTATTTTTTTTTACTTTTGACTTTAAATCTTTTGACCTCAAAATCAGTAAGTATTTTTTAAGGCAAAATGGAGGTATGATATTATTTTAATTGCAGAAGCTCAAACGCCTTTTTGGATATCGTCCGGAAATGACAGAATGTATGAATTTCTGACCATTCATCATTTGATCAAGATCAATAGGGGTCTTCTTAAGGCCATAGGTAGTTGTTATAAAAATAATTATTACAAAAGCTGCAAGGATTTTAGATACATCGTCCGGAAACAAAAGTATAACACACAGAATGAGAGAGAAAGAGAGAAGGATGGCCAGACCCAAATTAATATCCCCCACTTAAAGTGAACGCGGGGGACAAATATACAGTCAATAGACAAAAGTATTCGTCATTTTGATTGGCGTTGCGTGAATCGCGATGCATATCTCTACTATTTTTTACTCGCTCTATTTATAGAACAAACGAAATAGAATTAAATTTTCAATAAAGAGACTAGAGAATTTACGTCACGATTTTTTGACGCCATTCAGTCATTTGTGTGTCTGTAAACACTGAAAAACATCGTTTGAAAACTTGGGGCGAAAATCGGAAGAGTTAAGCACCGAGGTAAAATAAATGATTACAAAATCTGCAAATCATAACCCGTATAAATCAGAACTGGCGAGGATGCTTGATATACATAGGTCGATAATTGTGAGTATTTTGGATAGACTGGGTAATGTCGAAAACTTGCCGAGATCTGGCCGTCGCCTTTTTTTTTACAACTCGTGACAAGATGAAGCTGAGTCGTCTCGCTAAAGCAAACAGAAGGGATACTTTTACTGATTTGACATTTTTCATGAGAGTCAGATGGTTATCGAAACAGATAACCGTGTATATGTATGGATCATGGCCGTAGGAACCGGGGGGGGGGGCACGGGGGGGCCGTGCCCCCCCAATAATTTTGCCGATATATAGAATACTATAGAAAACATAGCTACTACATGCTTGTGCCCCCTCATTAATAACGTCTGATGACCTTTTTTTTTTTTTTTTTTTTTTTTTTTTTTTTTTTTTTTTTTGCTTGTCAAGGAATTTTGGAGTCGATAGTGTCCCCTCAACTGAAAATGTATGATTGTGCCCCCTCAAAGTGAAATTGCTTCCTACGGGCCTGTGGATAAAGGACGATGAAGCTAACAGCCCCATTTGGTTTGTCCCCCATCGAAAAGGAGAATATCACTAATGATCTGGTGATGCATGTGTTTTGTTGGCATGGGAACTGTTGTACCTGTCGAAGGTAATATAAATGTACTTAAATACTTGGAAATAGTTGATAATAATTTTTGGCCAGTAATTGCAAGACATTTTCCGAACAAAGACTATGTTTACCAAGACGATAATGCCCCTGTATGAGGGTTGTCCGGTAAAATCGTGGACAAAGCGTTTTTCTCGAAAAATTTCAGAAAATGTTTATTCATCATATTTAAGTGAAGCTTAATTTTTTTTTTATAAAATATAGACAAAAATAAAGATTTTATTATGCTTGAATGTACACAGGGTACGGTCCTACGAAGCACGATTAAAAAACGAGGGTTTCATTAGCGAATACACGAGTATTATTTCAAAATAAAAGTGTTAAATAGATAAGGTTGGGGTAAAAATTATCCTATTTTCAATCCACTATCTATTATTTCGTCTTTTGTAAAATACAAGGCATTTGCTTAATTTTTGGCAGTTTCCCGAGCATTTGAAATGGGAAAGTGGTAATCGCAACATACAAAAAATGGCTACGTTTGGTGACGTTACGGCGCACCGGAGAGCAGTTCAGTTTGATTTAGATGTAGTAATGACACCTTAAGAAACTTTAAATGACAACAGAAGGAAAAAAAATATAAAAATATCACTAGATCTTTAGTATACGAGTGAAATGGGAGTTTTCTAAACGGAAGTTTTTTGATCGGATCCCCGGGTAGAACAAAACATACGGACAGAAAGCTACTGGCAATATTAAAAGGCGCTGACACTGTAGACCGTCGATATAAGATAGCCTATTTAGTTGAATGATAGTGAGAGTATTGTCCATAACTAATTAATGAATCTTCAGAAGGTCCTATGTGTGTGCGCGATTGGTTCCTCGGCTGTTTATGGAGGAATAAAGGGAAAATCAAGTATGTGCAGCAAGAAAATCCCCGGATTTAAGTGAGGCTTATCCAACTTTTGTTTAGCAAAGAAGAAACGTGACGCTGCTTTAGATACTTTGATGTTATCACCCGTGCGCCGTAAGGCGATACCACACATAACATTAAGTCTCATATTTTGTTTATTTGAGCAGATATCTATTTGAAATTTGCTATGTATGTTGATGAAAAATGTACTAAAAAGTAGTGAAAGATTTAGAACGCAGTGATGAATATTTTTCAATCTACACAACTTGTCCACGATTTTACCGGACAACCCTCGTACATAGGGCCCTCATAGTGAAGAACTACAAAACCGAAAATAATATTAACTGCACAGATTGGCCAGCTCAATATCCAGAATTAAATGTTATTGAAAACATTTGGTTAAAGATCAAAAGAGAGCTCAAAGGGATGTCCGCAACTATTGAAAGTCGCGATCAGCTGTTTGAGGCAATTAGACAAGTGTGGGAAAATATCCTCGTGGAATATGTTCGCAGCCTCTACGCATCCATTTCAGACCGGATTAAAAAAGTAATCCGTATGAAGGGAAATCTGACCAAATATTAGGTAAGTGTCTTTAATTTTAAGTATACAAATCTCCGATTAAAACTCCCGTTGTGAACGTAAACAACGCGATGCCATTTTGAAAATGACGAATACTTTTGTCCATTGACTTTAGGTTAACATGTTAATTATTCATATTGATGATATGAAGAGAAAACTTTTACTTTGAGCTTTTCAGATAAAACTAGATATAAAAACAAAACAAGATAATGTCAAAATGTCAGAAATGTGATATATATTCCAGTGAAGAGAAATATGAATATGTTGTTTAAATAAGCTACAGTTTTTTCTATAACGTGAAATTAAGTATTTCATAACAAATGCACATAATTTGACTGAGAAGATTATAAACTATAAACAATGTTCGAATTAAATAGAAAATATATTTTATAATGCTTAAAAATGAAACGTATTACCTGAGGATGCTTCGATACAATGACCTTGTCTGCAAATGCAATCTATCATTAAGTCAAATGCTGACTGACTTTTTTCATTCTAATTGTTAGGCCATTATTTACACATTGAATTGTCGACGGATTTTTTTTTCTATTTCCCGATCATGACAAGCACACGGAGGATGTGACCGGTTGGAAGGGGATTGTCCTTCCTCTATGGCACCTGATCCCACCTCTGATGTCTTAGAGGTCCATGTTTGCTCTGCTCCTATTTTGTAATGTTTAATGGACTTTTGAGCTCGAATACTGTTCGTTATCTCCACATATTTCATCAATAAGAAAATAATCATGTCTCTGTTGTTATTGAGAAGAGGATTTTGAAAGCTTTTTTTTTCCTATCCCGGGGATATGCAAACTTTAATCTCTACAGGAAGATGCTTCCATATGAAAATGACTGGCTTTGATGGTCTTAAAAAGGGTTTTTTTCCCCAATATTGTTCATATGTTGTCCTATGTGAAACTACCTACCCCGGGGTACATTATTTAAAGAAGCTTGAATCTACACTACCTTAGTATGGATGCTTCCATATAAATATGAATACCGTATTTACTCGCCTATAAGTCGGTTGTGCTTTTTGAGATTATTTTGGAGGGATTTGACATTGACCCGCCTATAAGTCGGTACTACTTTTTGCCACAATCGGTGGATAATTTCAAATCAATGCTCTAATGTTTTAACCTGTGTTTCAAATAATATTTTGAGAAATGCCGACATTGAATCTTCTTTTCTTCACTTATAAACATATCAATACTCTAATGTATTTACATGTGTTCAAATAATATGTTGGGATATGACATTGGTAATTCATATTTTATTTTTCAACAAACCAAACCACTACCATTTTCTTTCTATACTGTTTTGTTTAAGAGTTGAATCCCTTTTCTTGTATATTTTATACACCGTTTCTTTGGCATGGTGATGAACAATGGTACGAGTCTAGCAACATTTCGATGATATTTAATTACGAGGTGCTCAATGTCCAAGCCATATCTATTGTTCTTTGATTTATAAACGCTATATTTGGTCTATCATTGACAATTATTGTCTCTAACATTACAGGTATCCCTTATCTGACATCGTGTTTATTTAGTGGAACGCGCCCCGAAAAAAATTGTACCACACAAG